ATGAAGACTATTTAAGAAACTACATGACTCATCCAATTCTACCAACATAGGCATGTATGCCTAGACCTCAGTATTCACTGGATATCTTTAAAATTAGAGCAGCCCTTGAGAGAGTTGCCTGCTTGYGGGCATTGAGCAATACTCTGGTATTAGAGACATACACAGATTTTTTTCTTCTCCAGCCCTAAAAAAAAAAAAATGGATGCTGTTGAACTCTATGAGTTGTCTATGAACTCTTTGAAGAAAGGACCACAGTTGGGTTCTGTACAGATCTCAGCACAACTAGCAGTTACTGTAAAACAGATAATAAATAATACAGCTATCCAGAGAAGGGCAATCCTCTGAAAATTTCATTTTGWGTGGGAACGAAAAACAAGTATCACCAAATTGGGTGAGTAAAGAAAGTTTCTGAGGCTTCTCACTGGTGTACTGCATGGTCTCTTACCCTTGGAAGTCAGCAGTGTTGAGGACACTCAAGCTGGGCACTGGCAGCCTGAATGTGCTGAAGATTTCAGCTCCTGCCAGCTCTGGGGAGGCTGGCCAAGAGGCCCAGCAGCCAGGCTCGGGGGATGCCAGAAGGTTGCTTGTTTTGCCTGCAGTCTGTGATCAAACCAAGTGATATCTGCTGTACATTTTCATTTTGATGAATGTATGTTCCCTGAGAGAGACCATTTCATTAGAAAAATACTGAGCTGTGAGAATGAATGACTTCAACAASAATCATTCACATTCTTCATATGTATAGACAGAGTTAAATATATGTAGTTGTACATCACTCTTTAATCCCTTATTAATRACTCCAGTTACTAACTGCTGCAGCTGTTCAGTGTGGAATGGTATCAGCTACCAGAGACTTCCAGACATCCTAAAAATATTTTTCCTTCTTCAATTATCCAGTTTCCCATTTTCAAGCAATGTTTTCAATGATATGTTTTCCAATAAAGAACAGGTCTTTGCAGCCAACACACATCCTACATTAAGAAGTCCTATGTCTTGCACTAGATGTGCAAAGAAATTTCAAGGGTTTCATTGCTCTGCAGTAGTAAAGGGAATTTTCAGTCCTATTTGCAAAACAGAAGGTCCTTACCCTCCACACTTACTCTTCTTCTAGTGATAAATAGTGACCAAGTGAAGAAGAAAATAGGACAAATCATACCAATATTGCCATCTAGATTTCAGATTCCCTGAATGTTCATGTGAATGTATCTTAAAATCATCTTAGAATCTGTTTTTTTTCATTGGCTTAACCTGAAATACCTGGTGATCAGCCACCCCAGGCATACAAGAGAATTATTGACATGAAGAACTTGAGTGCAATACTGAAACTTGCATTCAAATACAGAGTCTTGCTAATGTTTTTCACTTTCACTGGTTTGTGCAGCAGCTTGGACAGTGTGTGTCAGCTCTCCTAATTAAATTGAAAGCTAAATAGCAATGYAGACCTTGTTATATGCTACTATTAGTGGAATTCCTGCTGTGTATCTCACTCAARAACCCAATAGATGTCAATCAAAGTTTGAGCCTCTGCTTCTACYCTTGGTTGTTAATTAACTGTCAGAATGCTTCAATCTAGTTTATTACTAATATCCGAGGGACGTGCTGTGCCTTCCACTTGAACAGATAYAATTTCTGGGACGTTCTTGATCCCATGTGAGCGCACAAACCAAAAAGAAGCAGCAGGAATATAATTTTCAGCACCACATACAGAAAGKGAGGGTCTTTCCTGGTTGCTTAAGTGTTATTTGAATAGGACATGGAAAAAATAGAACCAAAGCATTAACTCCACATGCCACTGGGCAAACATAAGCCAAGGAATACAATGCATCATTAAGGAGGATACCATAAAGCACTAGTAGCCCCTAAAACTCTCTTTAGAAGCATTCCTGCTTCTCTTTGAGAAGGTCCATGACTAAATCCCAGATTAACCTTGAATATGGATTTTTCAAGCAGGAGAAATCAGCTTCTCAGAGACATTAAAATGTGCACTGTTCTACATCAGATTTCACTGGTAGTGAAAAAGTTTCTCAAAAATGTCTTTGTAAAGATCATTAGATCACACCCATTTCTCTCCTCAGAATCACATGAGCCTGCAATCAGTGCAGTGTGAGCTTTCTTGAATAAAGATGAGACAGTGTTGAGCTAACAAGCACCTGCACCTGCAGATACCACAAACAAGTCACCCATAAACAGAACCAGCAACTTGGAGCAAGAAGCTTGAGCAGGATCATAGAATCATTCAGGCTGGAAAAGACCTTTAAGATCAATGAGTCCAGCTGTAAAGGTGAATTATCTATTGTAGGATTTACTGTGATTTAGAGGAGTGGATAGAAAGTTGTTCAGGTACTTCTCTGTCCATTTAAAGACAGATTTGCCACCATGTACCACAACTTGGAGAGAGATTTCAGAGGACAAAAAGTGGACATTCCATCCAGTAAAAGGCATGGTGGGTGGGCATCTGCCAGTTTCTATCCCAAGCAAAGAATTAACATACACAAATGCAAGGAAGGAACGTCTGCACATCTGCCCTGGTATCACCTCTATTTGTGACTGCACAGAGAGGGAAACTTTTCTCCTCGTGGCTTCAGGGGAAAAGGTGTAAATAGAGTGAAAGCTCATCTAGCTGAAGATTTGACCTTGAATCTTTACAGGCATGAGGACAGSTTGTTTACAGTATGGGTAAAGAAAAGTAGGTAAGCACAGGTGGCTCTCCTAAAATAGTCTTTGCTCAAAATCAGAACGAAGGACAGCTCCTTTTCTAGTTTAAAATAAAGCCTCTCTGCCAGGGCTGTTATCTTTACACTGCCTATCAAGCTGGTTGACAAGCAATGGACTGAGCGAACGTGCACACTGGATGCTTACAGGCACTTAGAGCAACGCTCCAGAAACACTAAAAAAAAAAAAAAAAAAAAAAAAAAAAAAAAAAAAAAAAAAAAAAAAAAAAAAAAAAAAAAAAAAAAAAAGCGTCATCAGTCTGTTGAAATTTTAAAAACGCCTTTCAAAATATTGCCTTTGGCTGCACTCTCGTTTGCATCTCACTTCGGGAAGCCTGTAGGGTTTGCAGTGACAGCCCTGACAAGCACAATTCCTTCTGAAAAACRTGAATGAAAGACCCGTATGGCGGGGCGGGGCCCAGTGCGCTCCGTTCATGGCAGCATCAAGGATGCCAATGGTCGTGAGGCAGCCCGGGGAACCGGCGGCCACACCGCGGCCATTCAGAAATGCACACCGGCTGGGGAGCAGCGCCTGCCCCGCTCAGCCGGGCACCGGCAGCCCGGGAGGGCACGGCCGCGGGGAGGGAGCGAGGGAGAGAGGGAGGGAGGGCACGGCCGTCACGGGCCGTGTGTGCACGGGTGGCCGCGCTCCCCTGCGCCCGCACAGGCGCCTGTTCCGACAGCCCGAAGAGAAACCCCGCCGTGGGCAGCCGCAGGTTCGGGGGAGCGAAAATGAGATGGGAAGCGAAGAGGAGCGCTGGGGAGCGAAGAGGAGCGAAGAGGAGCGCTGGGGAGCGAAGAGGAGCGCTGGGGAGCGGCGGGCGGGCTGCTGACGGCCAGACTCCTGTCGCCGCTCCCACGCATCGCTCCCCGCGCCGCCCCAGCCCACCCGTGCGTCCCCTCCCTCACTACCCTCAGCTCTCCGCCACACTCAGCGCCCCTACCGCTCCCTCCGAGGCGGCCGCCGAGCAGCCCCCGCCGCCTCCTTCAAGGATGAATGGAAGCGGGAGGAGGCGGGCTCCAGCCGAGGCGCCGCCCCGCCTCGCTCCCTCAATGAGCGCCCGGGAGGAGCCGCCTCGCCCGCCTCACGGACCCGCTCCGCTCCAGCCGCGGGGGACGGAGCGCGGCCGCTGCGCCGCCGAGCAAGGAGCCGCGCGTTCTGCGCCCCACGGCAGCTGAGGGGACACCGCCGGTTCCCGTCACGGGCCGGGCGCCGTCCCGGGCCCCTCAAGCCGCTCCCCTGTCTCTGTCCTGGAGAATCACCCCGCGCTTCGTGTCCCCAGCGCGGCCCGGCCGGGTGCTGCGAGAAGGAGCAGCATCCTCCCGAGCGGGCTGACAGGAGGAGCCGCCGGCCGTGCCGGGAGGGTTCAGCACCTCGGCCCGGCGGACAGGGGCGGGAGGCGGCCGGCAGCAGCGGCTCTCCCCGCCGGGCCGCTCCGGTGCGCTCCGCCAGCCCCGCTCCCCGTGCCCGGCCCCGGCAGCGAGCGGCCGCCGCCGCAGCCCCTCGCCCATGCAGGAGGGAGCGGGTTTTGCGGCCCCTTCCGCGCAGACTGAACTTTCCCTTGGCCGGGGAGAGCCGCCTTTCCAGGGAGTATGCGAAACCCACCCCGGTTTCCAGCCACCCTCCATGCAAAACCCATCTCGGGAAGGGAGAAAGGGAAGTTTGGGGGAGCTCGACTCACCCAGGACGTTCCCGACGAGAGCCACTATGAAGACGACGATGTAGCCGGCGATCAGCGCCCATTCATATTCCTTGGGATGCAAATACTCCTTCCAGAGATATCGCAGGAACTCCTCATCATCGTAGTCTGAGGAAGGGGTTAAAAGAGCCTCCCGCGTTTCGTTTAGTTCCGACCCGCTCGTCCAATTCCTGTATGGAGGGGAACCATCCTCTGGTTGAATCCCGGACATCCCTAGTGGTTATTCCGGGGCTGGGAAAAAACAACAACCAACAAACCCAAACCCAGACCCTCTCAGAGCATCCGAGCTTTCTCCCGCCCGTCCATCGAGGCTTGTGTTTGCCAGCGCGAAAAGCGGGGTGTGGGGAGAAAAATGACGCGGGAACTTACGGGAACCAATGCGGGAACAGGCTGGGGATCCACGTCGGTCCCCAACCCGCCCTGACCAGCCTTTTCCCCCACCGGGCAAGGGGTGCAGCCTCCCCCGTGGAGGCTGCACCGCCTGCACCGTCGGGGAAAAGRCTGATCGGGATAGGCTGCATGCCTCAAGTGCTAGAGTGCACCTGCCCCTGCTGGAAAAGTCACGTCCGTTTCAGACGATGTCGATTTTTGTTCCCCAAACCACGCACACGCACCCCCGCATCTCTACATTCCTCCCCCCGCCACCCCCCCCCTCCCCCGCTTCAGCTCATCCCCAGCTCCTCATCTCTCCCCCCAACCCTACTTCCAGCTTGCCCATTCTTCTTCTTACTCTGCTTTTGCTCTGTTTGTCACCCTCTCTTGCACAAGCACTTCCTTTCAGACCTTTCAACATTAAATTCCAGATATATTCAAGACATTTGTAATTYAAGGCTGTGGAAGGCTGCTGTGGAAAGAAACACAGGGTTAAAGGAGCCATTAAGCAGTGGCTAATGAGGCTGTCTCCTTTCTGTACTGCTTTGAAAGTTAGGTTAAAACAGGAATTAACCCTGGTGGGAAAATCCCTAAGAGAGCAGAGCAGACAAATGTGAGGTTTCATTGGATTTGAAGATTGTGAGACCTCTCTGCAGCTTGAGTTTAGCATGCACTCACTGTGCTGAGGTTGTTTCAGACATCTAGCTTGGGATCTCAACGCAGCAGCTGCCCCTCAGCTTTTCTGAAATGGGCTAAGCTGGCAGAAAGCCGTTCAAGAGAACCCAGAAGTGCTAGTTAAACAGCTTGATAGGATTCCTGGCTTCTGGTCATTGCTCCTTGAAATACTTTCATACTTTGCCAAGTATACAGTCTCTGAAAGAGAAGGGATAAGTCTGGACTTGTCCCTCCATGACTGATAAAATCYCCTCTTTTTCAGGCAATCTGTTCATTTCCTATCTGAATAATTTAATGAGTCTGATAAAAGCACCATTTCTWTTGTGACATGGCACAACTCTCTCAGTTAAACATCTCAGTGCAGAGTCTGCACCTCCAGAGAAATGGAGCAAGTATTATGATGCAACTCTGCTTCCAACACAGAAGCATAATAGAGAGGCAGATAATCATTCATTAACACCGTGCTTAGAGTGCTTCAGTCTAGTCAGTGCTTCAGGCTGCTCAATTGTTTATATCTGTGTGCAGCCTTCTCTACTGCCTTCAAAGTTCAATGCAGCATACCTACACCCGGAATAGCCCCTCCTATTGCTATAGACTTGCTTGCTTTGCTTTAGTTCCTTGTAAAACAAGGAAAAGAATTCTTTCCTATTCTGCAGGGAAGTCGAGTGAACCTTTTAGACTAAATATGTTATAGAGTGAAATATACTCAGATATACAGGTAAGATCAGCATATGTCTTACATAAGTTAGAAGGGTAGAGTTTGAAAATATCATAAACAAAGATTAGATGCTCTGCAACTAATGAAAACACCTAAGGTTATATTTGTTGAGATGGGAAATTTGAGAAGTGATTTAAACTCTCTTGACAATGTGGGAATACAGTATCACTTGGTACACAATATCAGACCTGTTTAAGGAGCTTGTGATGGTCTTTGCTAGTGGTGAAAGACTTAGAGAATGACCATTTTGTAATCAATAACTGACAATCACACTCATGTTCCCATGCTAAAATGTTTGTAACTCCATTATTTGCTTCCTTGTTGCCAAAAAATCAAGTAATGTCTTTGTTGACATAGAATTTCTTCCTCCCTCACCAACAGTGACCTCATTTGCTGTGCTGCATCCAGCTCTGAGGTTCCCAGCACAGGAAGGACATYGACCCACTGGAGCCAGTCTAGAGAAGGGCCACAAAGATGATCAGAGGGAYGAACCACCTCTCCTTTCCGGAAAGRGTAAAAAAATTGCTATTGCTYRAGCTGKAAAAKATGTGGCTTAGGGGGGACTGAATTGTATCCTTCCAGGACCAGAAGAGAGCCTATGAGAAAGATGGAGARSGACTTCTTACAAAATTATGCAGTGGTAAGACAAGGTAGGAGATGGATTTTACCTGAAAGAGAGTAGACTTATGTCAGATATTAGGAAGAAGTTGTTTATTGTGAGAGTGGTGAGGCACCGAAACAGGTTGCCCAGGGAAATTGTGGATGCCCCATCCCTGGAAGTGTTCAAGGCCAGGTTGGATGGGGCTTGGAGCAACCTGGTCTGATGGAAGGTTCCTTGCATACAGTAGAGGGGTTGGAACCAGATGACCTTTAAAGCCCCAACAAAACCTATTCTATGATTCCTATGAAAATTAATGAATGGAATTAAAAATTTGGAAACAATATGAATTTAAGAAAAATATGTTATAGGGCTCATTCTTCTTCTTTCAACGAGATTACAAATGTGATTGATAAATACATAACTAATTGATTATGCAGATTAATTAGCTGCCTAAATTTGGTATTCCTGGAGTCCCATAAGACATTTGCTTTGATTGATACTGCACATTCTGATTAGGGARCAGGCTGGTAAAAAAATCAATATAGCACACATTATAAAGATTATGGGTTAGCTAACAGATTTCAGAATGAAATGGKAGAAAAAGAACCGTTGTTGAGCCTTGTGCATTCCTGCTGTCAGTTCTTGGTTGTGTAATACCCATTCTTCAAATGACCTTGAAGAAGATGGCAGGTGACCCAAAGATCAGGTGTAATCAGCTAAACACATATGCTCATCATGAATCTGTAGCCAGAAAGCTTCATTTGATTTTTGATTGTATAAATCACTATACCTGTGAAAACAAATTAAGTTTTAAAGTATGAGTGAAACTTAGCAAAAATATTCACCATGTACAAAACTCTGCTWCTGAGGAAATAGTTTTCAAACTAAGCCATTTTAGCTATGCATTTTAAAATCAAGATCAAATGCCTTTCTAAAAGATCAGCACTAGATGAGATGAGAATTAATTCTGAAAAATCACATGACTTGATAGGCAGGAGGTTAGACTAGATGATTATGGTTGTCCCCCTCTGGCTTTCTRATTTGTGAAAGTCTGTTAGCTGAATCAATTCCCCTTTGGTTCTGATTTATCTTTTCTTTTAATTATACTATCTGCATCAAGCTTGGTGCARCAGTTTAAATCTGTTCCTTTCATATAAATGTGTACAGCAAAATTTCAAAATTATGTAATTCATATTTTAACTGTGGTTTTTTTTCAGTTCAAAGCCTGCTTAACATGTGGTTTTACAAACTTTTACAACCAAAGAATATACTGGCTACACAGCACTTAAAAGAAGCTTAAATTCAAGGATATATCTATTAACCTTATCTCAGGGGAGAGCTGTCGGGTACTTTATTTAGCTAAAAGGTTCACATACATTGGTATCTCTTCTAATCCATAACTTTCCATCACTAATCCAAAAATACTGAAATTAAATTACCAGCCCTAGAAGATATGTTTTGTGGCTTTCAATATCACTTATCATATGATATTAGACCTTGTGAATATAAATCAAACAGAATTTTATGCTTTATTGCATCTCATAGCTCACATGAACTGACATTCATGTGCATAAACAAATCTTGCTTCAGCATCCAAGTTTATCACTTTGTCAAACACACTTCCCCCTCCATAATAATAATTTTATTGCCAACTTACATTTTTATTAATCACACAAATAGGCAGCACTTTTTTTCTTCTGTCAAAGACTAGCCCTTTAATTTTAAAATCTATTTGATTCAGAGGATTAGTTTCATAGTAGTCAAATAGCATATTAAATTAGGGGCCTTTTTTGCAGATCAGAATCAATTTTAAATATTTTTCAAACTTGGTTTAAGAGGCAGCTGAGCCTGGGACTTTCTGTTCTGCCTTTGCTGAATATTTTAGTGGGTGATTTTGTTCTTGGGAAGCAAACCACATGGACACAACCACTTAAGAGAAACAGACTGCTGTGCTGGCAGTAGAGACAGACTGTGTGAACATCTTCCTCCCTCCCCRAGCGAGTTACTGAGTTTCTGAGTTCCCGAGTTCCTGAGTTCCTCTGTTCTCATTTAACAGCTCCCTGGCAGCAGTACTAAGTAGTTTCTGAGAAGCAGATGGGCTTTTATCAACTAAATAGACAATAAAAGCGGAAGTAGAGACAAGGTGAGAGCAAGAGAGGAAGACTGAAAGAAAAAGTCAGGCTTCAAAATCCATACAGCCATAAATTTCATTGGAGTGATAAGGACTGTGCTTATCAGGCACTGAGGTGTAAAGGACCACCAAAAAATAGATATTCTACTGTATTTTTTTTGTAAACAGAATGAATTCATCAGTGAACCTTATAAGTTAATCTAACATCTAATGATGTTCCATCACACCATGCATTTGCAGGACCATGTTTCCTTTAGGTCTGTTCTTAGCATCAATTCAGTGATGAATTGTAGGTTAAAAATTCAAAACTAGTTTTAAYGTAAGAGAAATTATTCAAATTCCTTGCTGATATTTTTGAACTGGAGACATGAGAAGCATCTGGTAATTAGCCTTGTTTGGGCAACCTTAAGCATTTTTCTCTTTGAATGTAGAAAGCAGGATCCTGTTAAGCAGGGTCTTATTTTAAACAATGCAAAAGCTTGCAAAGGACTGTTACCCCAATACAACTAGACTATCAGCAACACTCTATTGATTTATTGGCTGACTARTACAATTACATTGACTCAAAGCTAAGATAACTTGCTCTGTTTCTAGTAGTGATCAGATAAGAAAAATCAGCTGCTCGTGCCATCTTCATTATTAATATCCACCAATGTCAAMCATATTTGAAGAGAAAAATTCTGATTCTAGTCTCATTCACTCTACTGTAAATTAGAAGCATCTTCATTCATGTCAGTAGAGTTGTGCAGCTGTAATACAAATTAGAATAATAGACTGCATAGTTGTGCAAATTGAGATGAACTGAAAGCACTATGAGATTATGATTCTTGGTGAAAACTCTGTTGTCCAACTGGGAGCAGAACTGCTGAACATCATTCCAGTGTGTTACGGATATACTTTCCAAGGGTGTGCAATGCATATATATATATATATATATATAAAGTACACTGCTCCACCATGCTTTTCTAGGGACATTTGCTTATCAAAGGAGTTTTAGGACTCCTTTTTATTTCTTTCAGAAAAA